AATAGCAAAGATAGACACATTGATTACAAGTCAAACAAGGTAATAACCTCACTAATTATATCTTTGCAGAAATAATTAGTTAGGCCTCACTTGAAATGCTGTGTTATTCTAAGAGATACTCACGAGTTAATAATATCACGTGACAATAACTCGTGCCAAGACAGGAATGGTATCATAAAGCAACTTACGTTTAAAAAATAAGGTTTTAATTTTTCACTATAACAAATTTCAACAGATTTCTTTAACAAATTTTGAATACTGTTTTTGAAACTAAATAATGTTTTATAATAATTGGTATTAAGTATTTTGAAAACTTTAGTAAATCATGTCTTAAGTCTTATAAATATCATGTTTACATTCCTAAGAAAATACTGTAATTTAATACTTTAATGTAAACCAATGTACTGCAAACTCTAAGGAAATATGAAGTTATAACGCTTATATATGAAAAAAATATTAACATTGGTTACTAAGTAAAAGTAGTAGTTAAATTTATAAAATATGATCTTTAAAATATATTAAATAACATCAGTAATTAAATATTCAGTGTGTCTAATATTAAAAGGTAATTAATAAATAAGATCAGCTAAGAAGCGTACTTTAGTTAAAGTAGTTTTTCAATAATGACCATTATGTTCCCACTTTTGAAATGAAAGAACCATTGCAGACATGTTTAGACAAAATATAGTTCTCATACTGTGCTATAGTAAACACAGAATGACCAAACTCAAATAAAATATTGGAATAACATTATATTTATATTTAACAATGTTAATAAAATGAATTATTGACATATTATTCATATTAAAATATCACAATAAACAATTTATTAAAATAGTTTAAAATTTTATTGTATTTAGACTATAACTTACTTGAAAATATACTGAAACATGAAACTCTTTTTTTTTCTTCATTTAGGTGGAAATTATAGGACAGCCACAAAATGGGAAATTAGCAGTTGCTAACATTCAAGTACGCATGCAACACACGTCAAAAGCACAAATGGTGACAACTCAACAAAAGCAGTTTCCAGAGGATCAGTCATCTGGAATATAAACAGGTTTTTTCCGATAATTTTAATATTTCTACGTTCAATATTGAAACGTCCAATATAGAAATACAAAGAAATATATGTATTGACTGTACGGCAGCTCTAAAGTTTGAATTTGTATCCTTTCTATATGTAATATATGCAATTCACTTACTTTATTACATTTCGAACCATGGTTCTACATAAAGACGCTTATATGTTACATGGCGAGACTCGGTTGTAAAGGTATTATTATTATAATACGGGTCGAAACCCATATGTAAGGGAACTTACTATAATAAATATCGAGGCTTAGCTGTAAATACACTAACGATATTACATGTCGAGACATGATTTTATGTGAGAACACATAATATACTAATGTTGAGACATAGTTTTACGTAAAGGTACTTACTGTATTACATTGGGTGGAAATTGGGGAACGTCTGGGTTAAAGTGATCATGCTCCATCAGTTTCAATGTTTTCTGCATAGGTGGTATAAGTAATAACGATAATTTGGTTACAAATTTAAAAAAAATCAAATTTTTGAAGGGATGCGACAAGAATTCTGTTGTGAATAGGGCAGTTGAATTATTTGGAAACACTGATTCGATGTGGAAAATTTTTAAAGATACATTTTTAAATATTCAAGGTAAACATATTTCTTATAGAAAGAAAAGGGTAGCTGCAAGTAAAAAAACCAGGTTGGCTCACAAAGTGTATAATATATAGAACTAAAGAAAAGAATCATAAATTTAAGAAACTTAAATGAACTTGTATGACAGGAGATTTAGAAGATTAAAGAAGGTCAAGAAAGTTGGTGAATCAGGAAATTAGGATATCAAGAAAGATGTATGAGAAAAGATTGGCTGAAATGTAAAAAGTAAGAATACGGATTTTTTTAATGGTAAAAAAATTAAGAAGGGGTAGGAACCCCTGAGAGATGATAAAGGAACGCTCGTATGTGATAATTATGAGATGGATGGGTTATTAAATTTTGCTTTTTCTTCGGTTTTTACTAACGAAGATTTAAGCAGTATTCCACATCTTGAACAGTTGATAGATAGAAACGAGATCGAACAAAATGATACATTAATTTTGAGCTGGTCAAGAAAATATTGGGAAATTTAAAGTATGATAAGACTCCTGGGCCAGCTAATATTTCCCCAACAGTTTTGGTTGGATATGTAGGCTACTTGCTACTAATTTTTGTTTGTCCTTGAATAGCGGGCAGGTACCAGAGGATTGATAGTTAGCTAATGTAACTCCTCTCCTCAAGGTAAGGTGTCCCAGTAATTATACACCCATTAGTCTTACATCAGTTGTGGGAAAGTCTTAGATAGTCTGTTAGAAAATGCTTTGCAAAGTCATTTAACAAAGTTTAGAATGTTATTGGATAGTCAACATGGTTTCACTTAGGAAAAATATTGCCTTACAAATTTTTTGACATTATTTGAAAATTTTACTGCTTTTTTAGATGAGTGTAAGAGTGTAGATTTGGTGTATATGAATTTTCAGAAAGCATTTGACAAGATGCCATATAAAAGTTATGTAAAAAATTATCTGTATAGATGTGGGATAAGTTAGCAAGTTGTATAGAAGAATGGCTGGATGGAAGAAAGCAGAGGGTTGTTACAAATGGAGTTCAGTCAAACTGGATTAATGTTATAAGTGGGGTACATCAGGGCTCAGCCTTAGGACCCATGTTCGTTTTGATGTACATCAATGATATAGATGAAGGAATATTCAATTAATTACTTAAATTTGCAGATGATATCAAGGTCTTGGGTGTTGATAGCTGTGAAGAGGATGCTGCTGATTTACAAAATGATTAAAGATCATTTAGTGAGTTGAGCGAATAAATGGCAGATTGGTTTTAATTATAATAAATGCAAGTTAACCCGATGACTACCGGCTACTAACTTTCTTAGCAGGCAATGCAAGTCTTGCTATATTTCATTCCAACAATAAAACTAGTGGACGAATATTTTCGAAAAGTACTTTGACAAATGTAGGTAGTTTAAGAAACATAAAGCCTATTACTTTTAACAAATTTAGTTTTTTTGCATTATGATCTTAAATATCTTGGAAAATTGCATTAGGAAATCGTATTTATAAGAAATGATTACAATATTTATATTTGCTACAGATCTGAACTTATTACTTTTAATGTTTTAGTACATTATTTTGAAATCCCCAAAAACTTGTATCCTCCATAAAATGCAATATTTATCTATTTTTAATTTTTTTAATAATCATGTATA